TCGTGATAATAAAATCACTCAATCTAATCATTTAGAAGGTCAACTATGTGATTAGTCATGTTTCATTCCTAGTTTATATATATATATATGGTTTAAATTTACATTAAATTAGATAAATTCACATTACAGCTCAACTATGTGCAGTGCCTAAACCAAAACACAATTCAAGGTGAAGAAACAAAGGATGACAAGATTATGTGAATACATTTCTGTTTAACACATTTCTCAATAAAAAAAACACTTCAAGAATCTAATTTGCTAAATAAACTAAATTTTAATCGATTTAGAAAACGCTGACTGGTATCATTACAGTAAAAAGAATGTAGCAAAAATGTTCTGTTTAAAAAGCTGGAAGTACTTTTATGTATTTAGATTGCTTAAAAGAAATTAAGTACTTAATGATACAACAGATTGAATAAATATTGTTCGTACTGAAATTACCTCGTAAAGCTTTATAGGTAGTAGCGTTTCTATGCATTAAGTAGGTGAGCGATAATTATCAGAATGGATCCATAATAATATAATCAGCATATTAAGGATTTTGAGAATGATTCAGTTGTAATCAAAAAGTGATTTGTAAATGGCGTAAATTCTGCATTCTACATAGACTCAGATTGGATCATACTATCCAACATTTTTGAGCAAACACGCAAACAACCAGTAGAGCTTTACTCTTAGATGTTATCACTGAATCAGGGCATTTTTACAAACTAAGCCTATATGTGATTATTTATTAATTCTATCATTCCATTTGTAAAGAATGTTTAAGCATTTTTTCCGGATAACTATTTTTCATATTGAACTACAAAATAACTGACATGAATTACAGAAGCGATTCTGTTGGACCAACACACAAATAGTTATGATTTTTGTTCAGTTCAAACATTATGGAACATTTCTTTGACAACTTGGTCTAAGAGGACGATATTCTTTTAATTCATAGTTCATATACTGTGTATGTTAAGGTTATACATCCATCCATTCAACGAAACGCATTAATGTTATTTGTTAGCGTCTTGTGTGTAATTACGTTGAAGTATACAATAGCGGACAATCAAGAGTTAATAATTTAAAATTAACATCGAAATATGCAGTTTGGGAGAGCAGTGTCGTTGTATTTAATCAGTGATATATATATATAATGGACTTGTTTTAAATTATTTTCGAGCTACAGTTGACTTAACGTATGAGTTCAACACGGTACAGTTCCGAATCAATTATAAAATATATTCCTGAACAACACATGAAGAGAAAGTTAAAGTAAAAATAGCAAGAAATAAGCATCAGGTAACTATTTAGAGTCTATCTTTTAGAAAGCTCTGAAGATCCATGAGATTATATATATTACTTGTTCTGTAGTTGTATATATACACAAATTGTGATTGGGATAATGTTTGTCCGCCCAACCTGAAGTCAGTGTGTATTCTATTATTAATTACGGTAATAACAGAAACTTTGAATCCACAAATATGTTTTAGTGATAACATCAATTAAGTGATAAACTAGTCATATGACGTTTACCTTTGAGCCCCTAAATGCTCTGGTACGACCGAGGGTGGAAAGATTCCACTCTCTCTCTCTCCCACTCAAAACGCTCTCAAGTGGCCACTCGTATACAATCATTATCAGGTAAGTCCTACTCACTGCCTTCTCACGAAGGGGTGTTGTTTACGAAATTGAGAGGACGAAAAGCGAATGTCCGGAGCTTTAACCGGGTCGGTGGATATGGATAGTCAACCTAGGGGAGTTGGAAAACCCTGATTCCCAACCAATGATACACATGGGCTCCAGTATCCTGAGGGACAAAATGGCGTATGAACCAGTCGTTGGTCACCGGCTACCATACGACTGTATCTCCTCACGTTACTCCACTACCTTGTGGATCAGACCTTCAGGTCGAAGGCTCCGGGTGTGGCCCCCTAAGAAAACCACCTGCTTCGGTTTGGGCACCCGGGCAGTATCACAGACTTCACACATATCAAGTGACTTATGCGGTACATATGTATTTGGTGCCCCTTTGTACCAATATTTATGTGTTCAAATAAAGAAATACCTTTATATATTATGTACACAGTAGTATAAAATACACCAATTGTGTAGTGTTGATACTGACTTTCGGAAGTCTAAGTTTTAAATAAATGCAATAATGCTGTAACTGATAGATTGATGAGTTATGATCTTTTCCTGTACTGATATAACCTTTGTTTAAAAAATCAAATAAATAAATCATAAACGAATTTTGAAAAACCTTAATAGGAAAGCTCACGTTCAGACATGATTTTCCAAATATTGTTTTTTGTATTAGAATAGTATTATTATTTTATAATAATATCATATGTATCAAGAATAATTTGAGTTATTCACTGTAAAAGTACATTCCTTTACGAATAAAGATTATATAGTTGATTGTATTAAAACTTTATGTTATAAGAGTTAAAATATTTGGTATCCATTTAGTTCATTTTTTGATCAGAGAAACGAAAAATAAAACTTCAAAATTGATAGATTCAACTCGGAGAATAATGTGAAGTTCTTCATCATATGCGTATCATCATTTGTAACAGGAATGAAACACAAATTATTGATACAATTTAAAGAGCTCTCAGGGGAAGTTAAAGCTGGTGAGATATCAATTATAGTTTTGCCTGGTAGGTAGCAGCATTTTGCTTTTTACATATGCACTCTAGACATATCACTTAAAGTTTAAGCAGCACAATAAAAACATGGAATTTCTTTTCTTAAATGATTTGATTTTTGTTCTTTAAATTCTAATTTTTTAGTTACTTTGACAAATCGTTACAATAGCTTTCCACTCTCTGTTTAACCACCAGGTATAGCAATCTTTATAAATTACTTTTGTAGTTTTACAATTTTGGACACAATGCATTTAATAAAAAATAATTTACAGTTCACCTTTAGTTTTTTCAGTAAGTAAATAATGTTATTACACTCAATCTTCCTTATCTTCACCTTTAGCTCTTGTAGAGGTACTACCGGTCCCAAGCCCGGGTAAAGGAGAAGGGTTGGGCATGAGGTCCGCAACCCCATCCCGTAGAAAAAATCTTTCTAAAAAAATGTCAACCAGTCTTACTTGTTTACGTCTCTTAAACAGAATATTTATAGGAAATTCATTGAAACAGTCTCCTTCAAAAGAGTGGTTAAAACGATTTGAAATGAGTGGTATGAACGGGAAATAGTCATTCAAGCAAAACAAGAAAAGTTTGTTTAGCGAAGAAATATATTCTGATGAACTCATTTTAAAAGATGTATGAATTAAAAGTATACAATATTTTTCAGAATTACAACTGTTAATGTTTTTGGATAATAATTATTTGATGATTATAGTAACAGGGAAATATCTGAATATGTTCTATCGAAGATGTAGTGTTCAGCATTATACTAATTATTCTAACTGAATCAACATGATATGAGATGAGAGTAATAAAGCTTCCTCAGTTACTAAGCATTTTGTTGATAATAATGGGAGTTTGTTATATTTTTTTGGACGAAAATATAAACATAATTTTGATTCAAATTAATTTCTTATCAATTTACTGAAAATTAACAGTATTCTAAGTATATAATTAAACAATTAATTTCCCCCTAATATTGAGCTCAAAATTCAAGATTTGTATTCTATTTTACACATTACTTGAAAACGGTAATAATCGGTTAGTAATTGGAACATTAAAAAAAATAATTTTACTAGATATTGAAAAAGGTCAATTATTTATGAATATATAATAGATGTTCAATTGTGCTCATCTGATATTGAAGATAAGACTAGTGGAAGAGAGAATTTTCCCCCCAAAATCGATTTTTACGAAAATTATAGGTTCATTGAGATTATAAGCAAAGATGGATAGTGCCTATCAGTGGAATCCAGGACGCGTGCTTAGTCCTAATTGGGAATTGTCAGATGGATGTACCTGAATCTCAAAATTAATGTCAACTCCTGGACTCGAAACCAATACCGTTCGCTTCAAATGCCATCGCGTTATCTAATTAGCTACTGGGTCCTGCAAACTACTTGCTTGTGCACTGGGGTGAAGTTTAAATTCACTTGGTATTGTTTACTTGTAACTTCCCATTGATGTTTAGGACTGCAATTGATCAGTCTCTTATTGGCATATGTGCATACTGTGAATATTGCATTATAAGACCATTATAAGCAAAGATTAAAGAAAGCAATATCGAGTCCATTTACACAGTATGCACATATGCCAATAAGAGACTGATCAATTACAGTCTTAATCATCAATGGGAAGTTTCAAGTAAACAATACCGAGTGAGTTTACTGAGAATTATTTCATCAAGAATTTATGAATATGTAACCAATAATTTTCTTAATAATACTTATGACAAAACAAATATCTTGTTCAATTTTCATTTATTCATATGAATAAATTGTTTGTTTTATCGATTATGAAACAAATTACACAGACCGAATTTTCACGTGTTTTCAACGATGAGCGCATCTTTTAATTCGAGTAAACAAAGCATTAACAAAGTAGCGTATTTACAAGTCAGATTCGGTTGTATAGATATATAATTTCATTTTTTGTATTCTTGATTTTATCTAAATACAGTGCCAAAAAATCATTTTAAACTCAGTTTTATTGAACCTAAACATTTATTTATATACTTATGTTAGTAAAGACGTGTGTGTGCGTGCGCACCAATACTAGAGAGTAGGCATTTCAAGGATCTAATTATATAGCTATGGTAACTTGCTATGATCACTTGGTGTGTGTGTGTGGTTTGTATACACAATGTGATTGCATTGAATAAGCTCACATATTGGTATGTTATATGTACGTGTAAGTGTAATTAAAGTATCAGTAAACACATAAACATATGTCTTTATATATCGATATGCATAAGTTCGAAATAAAAAAAGAACAATTGAATTTCGAACACACTGGTAAGTTTTCTTCAATTGTCTCTTTTTGTTTAGGTGACAGACATCTTTGTTGCATATAGATTTATTTGAACTCAATACATATATCAATACATATATATAAGCATACAAAGTAACTAGACAACGAACAATTGCACTTTAGCTTATGCACACAAAGATTTTTATACAATCAATTTCATTGGTATTAGCAAGGCCATATTGTTGAGTTTTGAATAGGTAGATAAAATAATAATAAAAATATATAGTGAATGATCTTTTCATTGAAATGCCAGTTGAAATTGTCTAAATTTTCCATTTGAATGACTATATAAGAATTACTGAAAATTATAAAGCAGTTAATGGTTTGAAATGATCTTGATGTTCATAACCAAGTTGATTTTATTTATGGATTGTTGATGAGACATTATATATATATACATCAATAATAACTATAGATCATTTCAATTTATGACGAATTGAGATATTTGTTTGCAATAATTATCCATTAATTATAAGTTATGCTTGTTTTGAATTTGAGTTTATCAATATTCAGCATTGTGACTAGTTCATATCTCATCTCATGTGGATTATTTTCAATATACAAAAAGTAAATGAATTATCAGTGATTTTGCCAATCGAAGTAAGCAAAGTTATTTCAGTAGTGGTTGAATATATAAATGAACTTATTTAATTTCTTTAGTATTTAGACGAATAGTGAGATTACTTTAGACAGTTTTCAGTTAACGTCAATCTATGTCTAATACTGTCAGATATTGTATTAAATTTAAATAACTTTTTATTGTCTAATTCTGTTTCTATTCTGATACCATTGACGCTTTAGATACACTAGTTAGTTTCATTTTGATAAAATGGATCCTTTAGGAAATTTCAAATAGCCACTTTCAAATGTAGGGTAGAGTTTGCTAATAAAATACCTAGCTAAGTAGTAATCAGATGATACTTTTATCTCATCAATAAATGAATTTAAGCAATTAGCAAATATCTTGCTTAGATTTATGTTAGTACATTTTTAGTCACCTATTTACTTGTACAATGATCTACCACTTCAAACAGATTTGCGAAATGAATTCTGTCAATGAAAATTTCCTTTTAGGTAAACGATAGCTGAAATGTAAAAACATTAATGATTATATAGATGTAAATAGATATTGAGGGTTTTACTATGTGTTGCAAACAAAAATTAATCGTTAATTGACCCCTCAATGGAAATTACTTCTCTGTTAAAGGTATTTGACGACAATTTCAATTATATGACAGATCTTACTGACGAGTACATATTCAACTAGACTTATCTAGTTCACAGACATTTTGTAAATAAAATCATGGAACCATTTGATGTATTTTCATGTTTATACGCTTAATTTATACTTAATAGTTTGGTAACAGCTTATGATCAGCTAACGTACAAATTATGTAAAACGATATGAAGATACAGACTGGTGGTCACAGTAAATATCTAATCAAAGTAAGCACTCATCACGAAGAACCAGAAAACAAGACATATCTTTCTAATCAGTGGTCATTTGATATCAAAATTATTCTTAAATGAAGTCAACTATGGCTCCACTAGCACAGTGTTAGCCTCATTGACTGCAGTGCTGTATGATTTAAGATTGAACATGTTGAAAGCAGCATCAAGGATTTTAAGAATACGAGTAGCCATTTCAGAATTGTAATAACTTCTTTGGAATCTACATACAGGGATTTTTATCAGCTTCTATCAATGTTATATAAGTTTGCATTGTTTTTTGCACGAAAGTTTCGACTTAACACTACAGCATGTACACTGGTACATGACATGTGTTGCACAGACATCATTATTTTTTCTATAAAGTATGTAAACCATTTTTTTTTGAGTTTCCTAACTACGTTTTCAACAAGAAAGAATTAACAAACGATCTATAAAATGAATTATTCAACTTTCACATTTGTACAAACTTTTAATGTATATATAGATCGAAAAGTGAAAATTTACAGATTGTTCATTCATATACAAAAATGTAATATTTGCTGCCTTTGCATTTTTCTTCATCCATACTACATGAGAAGTTTAATTGTTGTACAAATGTGTAAGAAATAATATATACAACGAAGTCAAAACAAAATGAAATGAATTTTAATTACCGTAATAGGACTTTGTTGTGGTGGGCGGCCCATTCGTCTACACGAGGCGTAGCAGACGTAAATGAGCAATTAAGTAATAAGACTTTGTGGTAGCTTGATAGTCTATTTAAGTAATCGCAATTTCATAAGAATTTCTATTATTTGAACTAGATCTTAGTGCTTTTGACAGGATCAGTAAAATAAAAATAGATATTTTATTTCAGTAGTTGTTACGTTTTTAATTAGGAATGTAAATTAATGTGTATTAATAAGCAAAGATGAATAACGGCTTGCAGTAGACTCTCGAATACGCGTTTCGTCCTATTTGGGGATTGTTAGATGGATGTACTAGCATCCCTAAGTTGATGTCAACTCCGGGACTCGAACCCAATGCTGTCCTCTTCAAACACTATCGCGTTATCCATTTAGCCACTGAGTCCTGATAGCTACTTGCTTGTGCAATGGGGTGAAGTTTTAATTCACTTGGTGTTGTTTTACTTGTATCTTCCTGGAGTGAACATCAACTCTGGGATACAAGTATATCCAGCTGACGAGTCCCTAATAGGACGAAATGCGAGTCCTGGATTCCACTGCTACCCACTATCCATCTTAGCTTAAAAAGCTTATGACTATATTCTATATCGAGGCAATCCGCACAGGATGCACATATGCCAACAAGAGACTGATCAATTGCAGTTCTAAATAACCATGGGAAGATACAAGTAAAACAACACCAAGTGAATTTAATATGTATTAATGAATAGCCTACTAAAATGATTATCATGTTTTATAATTGCTATTACAGAAGAGTTTTATTACATTGCAAGAATTTATTGAACTCATTTTTGATTTGCTAAAATTCAACTGTAAAAGAAACTATTATTTCAAATGAATATATATACTATGTTGAAATAAAACATTTTCAGTCAACTAAATATCTATTTTACAATAAATTGAATGAATTAATAGAGATCAGATGTTTTCATATGATTTACATCATCGTTTGATGATATTATGTATAGAAAAAAGATCATACTAAAAAATTTTACTATGGGCTTTGTTCATTATCTTTTAAAATAATTTATGTCATACTACTGAGAATACCATTTTAAAGATGAAACATTGATTATTATAAATATACTACTTAAACAATTCAGGTAACATGAATGATCTGTATAGAATTGAATCAGATATTACTATGATCCATTTTAGAAAAAAATCTTTTCCTACTTCAGTGAAATAATATTCTTTCTTATCATTATAATGAGGATATAACTTTTATCAGATTAGTAACTTAATTAATTAACGTCTAATGAAAATGTAATTCATTTTAATCCTTTGTTTTAGATCTTTATTTTCGAGTATTTGTAATGTTGATTCGTACGCAAAAGATGAATATTTCTAAACTGGTGTCCGAATCTACAGTTAAATTATTTGTATACATTGGTTACAAACAGTATCGTGTTAAAAACATTATTTATTGAACAGACTCTGCTTTATAAGATTCATTAATAAATACTTTATGTCAAAAAACGAAATTTCAAAACCACCTCTCACTTGTAGGAATAGTCTCCATTTTTTCAAACTTTCGTTTAGTGGGAATTCTGTGATCTCTCGGGATATCTATTTTACCATGATTTTTCATGTTGCCAATCTTCCACTTACGGTTGTTGCTGATTGTGCCTAATCAAAGTATTTAGAGTATCTGCGTAGACAAGTATATAAAAATATTCAAATTCTTTATGTTGGTTTGTCAAGCCCGTAGTAGTATATCATTTGGAAAATATACTCAAAGCGTTTAATTTAGACAAGTGGTCTCTTCAAGTGCACTTCCACTCTTTTGAAATATACTTGTAGTTGTATGCTAATCAAACGTAAAAACATGCACCAACAAATTTGACAGCTCATGGTTTAAGGCTATCCAGTAATATCGTTTACAAATGAGTTTTCGATACTAGATATACAGAGTGTGATCAGATGTACCTTCTGGAGAAAATAATGTCAATGTTAATTTATCATTCAACGGTTCACGCAGCATTGCTCGGAGAAAGCACGTTTTAATGAAAATGTCTACTTGTATTATGGTATACAAAAAGTAAGACCTGATCAACCATGGTATATGAATTGACTTTGTTTCAATAAAAGGGATTTAAATCCAGGAGTTGCAATAAAGTGATGAGAACTCACAGTTTCAGAGCACAACGGATTTGCGAAGCATCATAAAATATGAAAAGAGCTGTCACTTGCGGAGTGCAAGTGATGGACAAGATTTATTAGTCAACTCCAAAAACGGGGACGCAAAAACGATTACGCCAACGAATATCCACAGACCTTGTAGTAGGATATACTAGTAGGAAAATTTGCAGGCAAGATCAAAACTCAAGAGGGACATGAGCGATGGCCGAATATCTAGCTTATATCTTAATAGTTGCAAAGAATTATAATTAATCATTAAGTTCACTCCTGGCGGAAGCCCCACTCATATTTGTCCCATTAAAAGGAAGAGGTATTAGTAAGTGATTAAGCTCAAAATCATATATTAATTGAATGTTACGTTCACTGTATAACATTCATTTGTTTTGGGTAAATATTTGTTTAGTGCCGCGTATTCAGATAAGCTATGATATTTTATGAGCTAACTGGTTATATGTGAAAGAAATAAGTATTTTGAAAGTATTACATCCTCACATACGTTCTAATTTCGTTCAATGGTGTAATCTGGAAGAACTTAAAAGTTTAAATTTATCCCTTGAGTATAGTCTAGAGTTGCAGTAACAGTGAGACGGCCAGATGTTTTAATTCACTTGGTATTATTTGGCTTGTATCTTCCCATGGAGGTTTAAGACTGCGATTGATCAGTCTGCTATTGGCATATGTGCTCACTGTGCGTATGCCTCGATATTGCCTTAATTCACAAATAGGACGAAACGCGCGTCCTAGATTCCATTGCTAGCCACTATCCATCATTGCTTACAAAAAGGCCAGATGTTTTAGTTTTAAAAATGATGAGTATAGTGACTTTGATGACACAATAATACTTTGAATAACGGCTATTCGTAATTTAGGAACTAAGCTTTATAGATAATTGATTAGCTTAAACTTAAATAAGTGAGAATCAAATCATTCATACTACTTTAATTAATTGAAATGTAACACATATTTATTGTACAGTGGCAAACTACAGTGGATTAACAAATAGTGTTATGTTAACAGAAAGCAAGCAATTAACTTAATGTTTAGGACTTGATTGTTTAAACTATTGATTCTTAAAGCATTTGGGAATATTTCATGGTTTGCAAAAGTGATCGTGTAATCATTTATATTAAGTCTCGAATACCTTTAATCATATCTTTCTAGCCTAAAGTTGTGAAACATGTTTATTACATGATAGGAATATTGAAAGTTTGCAAATTTATTTAAACCATTTTAGGAATATTTTTGGTGCACGTTTGTAGAGATGAATTTAAAATATGTACTTATTCCCTTGAAGGTCCTTATTATACTTTATATGTTCGT